ATAGAAACCTCCTCTTCTCATACATCCGAAACTGAATCCTTTCAACTGATAGAGGTATAGCGGTTCACAATGTTGTACGTGAGTAGGCTGAAAAGTTCATAGGCTGGCTATGAAGAAGTGTTGCTAGAGCAGTGAAATCTTGCATGCATTTATTTCAACTCTTCTTATTAATTACCGTATTGTTTCTTTCCAGATAAAATGACATCTGACAGTTCAAAGAAGTCTGTTCATCCTGTTGGTCAAAAGAGTCATATATATGATAGTGGGCTGAAATTTCCATAGCCTGACTATAAAGGATCATGCTAGATCTGTGACATATAGCAAGCGTAAATTTCAAGTATTCTTATTAATAAGTGCGTAGTTTATTTGCGGGTAAAATGACACCTAACAGTTCAAAGAAACTTCAAGTTTATCTAGGTGCGATTTCTCTTGAAAATGGGAAACATTTGGTATCGTGGTACTATTAAGTACCTGCAGTATCTGTCCGGTGAACACCCAAATACAGAATCATTTCAGGTGTACGACAAGAAAGAAACGAGACACCAAAGCTTTTTAATCGCTTTCAAGATTATGCACAATCACATATCTGAAATTATCAGCGTAGATCATTTAAACGTTCAATAATCCATCCTAAATTAATTTTCAAACAATTCATGTTTTACCCCGCGAGACCTGTGTACAGATGATGTGGGTGGCTATGCTGATAAGATAGGTATTCATAGTTGGACTTAGAATAATCAGGAACAAGAAATAATCATAATAAGTGGTACAAGAAGTAGGACTGAAAATAAAAAACTTTCTCAAAATAGAAACTAGAATCTGTAATGAGAATACGTATGGCAATGAGATGATCACTGAGAAAAAGGAATATAGGATAGGTTGCGAAACGGGTAATTTTCCCCGCCTCCCCTCCCAAGATACTTATTTTTTGTCTGCTGTATCCATTCAAGACGTAGGCGTGTATGGCCCTCCAAAATGTTCTTCCCCGGTTCTACTACGACGAATGAAATTAAGCAGCGATAACCCTGATAAATAATTAGATAGGTGATTTGGGAATATCCGGTGTTGTAAAACCATAACAACACACATTAGTTCCAAGCAGTAGATAATGGTCCAGAAACCCTTGTGACCGTCTAAGGGAAAGATTTGGGTAAAACCGACGTCCAACTGGTTTATAAGGAGGAATCACTTAAAAGATCTAAGCCGATCGATTCGCAGTTTTTCTTTTGCAGGCGCCGAGTGTAGTATCGGTAGGGATTAAAGAAATTGGGTCTCTCATTTCTTCTTTTATGAAATCAGTGTGCATCCAACTCAAAACTGTAATTCTTTTTTGGTTAATTTTTTTATAAATTTTACTTAACCGTGAGTTGATTAAATAGAGTATTAATCTACATCCGGCAGCAAGGCCGCTGATCGGGAGACTGAACGTTTTAAAGAACATGGAACCACCTCTTAATTGCTGCTGTTCGCAGGTCCACCCTGACTCGGGGTGCTAGCTACCATTGGGGTCTCAGCTATAGGTAAATAGTAAACACCCGAAGAAAACACCATGGATGTACAAAAGTACATTTTTATAGTAAAAATACCATCCTTATTTATAGGAAAATAAAATTTTATAAAAACAAATGGCTAACAAAACATAGAGTAAAATAATCAATAATACATATTTATTGGTCTGTTGATTTTGTTTAGGGGTTAGAGACTATTTAATACCGAAATCTAAATATTTGTTGGTAATTTTATGGCTTCAAATAGAGATAAAATGTATTATTGGTAATTCTACTACAAAATATATTTCAGGTCATTTTACTTTAAAATGTATTGTTAGTAATTTTACTAGAAATAGTTATGGTTGGTAATATTTTTATATAAAACTGTATTGATGGTATTTTTTCTATAAAAATTATTTTTATACGTTCATAGTGTTTTTTAAGCCACAAAATTGTGTTAAAATATTTAGACTTCGGTTGATATGCCGCTAAACAAAATCACGTAACCAATAATTACCCGACCATAATGCCTTAGTTACATCTTCTGAAAAAGACTGGGACATTCAAAACCTCAGACACCTAAAATAAAAACAAAAAAACAAAAAAAAAAAACGATATTGTAAAATTATTGTGGGAAGGAAGAAAAACTTGGAATTGCAAAAAAGTTCATCCGAGGCCAAATAAACAGTTTTTAAAAAATAAAAGGGTAAAGAGCAAATAAAATTTATCAACAGGAAACACTTTTAAAAAGCTGGTATCGCGAATTTAAACAAAAAGAAAATATTCAGAATATGAACACTGACTAAAAGCATGCAACCAAACAATCACACTGAAATGCATAATTTGAGTGAAGTAGTATATGAAAACTGACTTCACAACAGTAATGCTATTTGATGAGTTATATCTGATATCTGACTAACGAACTGCATCGAAAATCAGGATAAGGTTACCAGGAATAATGCAAATTTTGCTGATAAAATTTAACATAGAATTTTATGTAACAGTGTTTTAATATAAGAATCCATTGTGAAATTTTGCAATAAATATGTATTGTCCGTGGTCAGGAATTCCAGTGTTGTGTCATTGATAGAAAGGAGAAATTATGTAAATATGTATAAATTTTTAAGCGTGCCTTACATGTGGCACAAGGCCGAAAGTATGGAGCAATCAGCGAGGATCGAACTCACTACTCAGTCTTAATATTTCTAACAAGGATACTAAGACATTTTGTGTCATATGTTATGATACAGAATGCCATCCTATTCGCCTTCCGATCTTGATCCAGGACCGTGATGGTTTGTGTAATAGACTTATGAATATCTGAGCTAGCTCGACCGAATAATAAATAAGGGTTGGAATATACTAAATATATTCTAAATTGACCAAAATATCTTATAACAAATATTTAAAGTTATATATATATATATATATATATATATATATATATATAACAGGTCATCCTATAAGTTCTGTCCGAATTTTAATTTTTTGTCAAGTATTTTATAATGTCTAATGGAACTGAACATTATTTTTTATGCTTAGATGCATTTAAACTGATCAAATTTAATTTCAGAGAACAATAAAATTAAAATGGAGATTTCACTCTTGCAGATGAAGATCGAACCAGACGTCCAGTTGAGTTTGATGAAAAGCATCTTGAAACAGCCCTTGAAGAAAATCCTGGTTTACCAGTTGTGTAATTGGCAGTGGTTCTCAGTTCAAACCATACAACTGTTCATCGTCATCTTCAACAACTTGGAAAAGTTCCTAAACTTGGAAAATGGGTGCCTCACGAATTATCTGAAAACAACCTCAAATCCTGAGTTGACATCTGCTCTTCTTTCCATTCTCGCCAATTTGTTTCACCTTTTTTGAATAGACTTGTGACTGGCGACGAAAAATGGATCTTTTATTGAAATGTTAAGCGTCGTAGACAGTGGCTTAGTAAAGGGAAGCAACCCAGCCACAGCCGAGAAGGGAACTTCATGGGCAAAAGTTTCTTCTTTCATTCTGGTGGGATCGCCAAGGAATAATCCACTTTGAATTCTTACCACCTAATGCAACAATTAATGCTCAAATATACTGTCAGCAGTTAGAACGTTTGAACCAAGCTTTGAGGAAAAAAAGACCTGCTCTAGTGAATCGAAAAGGATGATGTTTCATCAGGACAATGCGCGATCCCGCACAGCAAGAATCACGTCACAAAAGATCGAAAAACTTGGTTGGGAGAAAATTCCTCATCCACCTTATTCTCCCGATCTTGTTCCTTCAGACTACCATTTGTTTCGTAGCTTACAGAATTATTTGGAAGAAGAAGAAACAGCTTTTTTAACACAGGAAGAGGTTAAAACTGACACTTGTGAGTTCTTCGAATCAAAAGCCAAAAGAATTTTACATTTAACGCTATATATATATATATATATATATATATATATATATATATATATATATATATATATCGGCATACGTAAATACGTGAAGATTAAAAATGAAAAAGCTTTCACTTTAGATTTAACCGAAAGGTAAATGATTTAAAATTTACTATTTGCAGTAAGCCAAATATTGATTCGAATCGATTTTGTCTTCATTACAATCGATCAAAACGGCCATTTATGACAGATTTAAAAAAAAAATCCCTGTTTGGAAAATCTTTCAAAAATAAAAAAAATATATTTCTAAAACGTTATTTTAGAAGAATTAGTAAATTCAAAGCTCAATTAATCTAATTTGAAACAAATATTATATATTTATGGCATAAAATGTTGTGTACAAATATTTCTTAACTTCGGGGTCTTGTTTTTTGGGTTAATCGATTTATTTACATCCGATTTACAGCTAAATGTGCTCATAATTAAGTATGGCAGAGCAAAAGATAAAGTACATCCATACTTCAGAAACTCTGCATGTAATCACACAGAAATAATAAATCGAAATTCTTTTAAAAATATTCGCTGTCGACAGATTGTAATAACCTTTAGACTATATAATTAGTAAATATAGTTTTCTTTAGTAACAATATTTCCTAAGAATTATTTAACTGAAAATGAATTTTAAAAGATATAAAAATTTATAAAATATTTAAGATGAAAAAAGTGAAAAAAAAAATCTTGTAAAAATTCATTTCCCGTCGATTTTTTTTCTTCTTCAGACAATATTGGCTTTAATAAATACTATTCATAAGAACTATTAAAAGTTTCTCTAATTGAATAATGTTTAATTTTATTTCGATATTTTATTTTTTGATTCAGAATAGATTTTTGCTAAGACCGTGTCCGATTTTGCAAAAAAAGAAAAAGAGAAAGAAAAAAAATTCCTTCATTTAAATTCTTGTAAAGTTTCTTTAGTTATCTTCTGCCACCCGGCAGTTCTTCATAAAAACAGACGTCCTGGAACGAGATGTTTCTCTGGGCCGATAACGTCAACGTGCGCATAGACTTAAAAACCTTACAAGAAAAGCAGTATAACAGTGAAAAATTCATTATTAAACCAAAATAAAAGACTATTACTTACCGCATTCATTCTCATCGTCGCAGTTGTGAACACAATCACATATTCCATCGCATTTGTTAGCCGCATCGATGCATCGGCCATTTTCACACTGGTATTCTCGGTTTGTGCATTCGCCGCCTGAAAATTCAATAAAGTGTTAAAAATAAAAAAAAAATGTTCTTAACTTTCGCACTCAACATTAATACATGTCCTTAGGGATTTTAAATTTTTATATCTTCAATTCTATACAAGTCCGTCAGAGAAACATCCAAACATTTAAGCATCACCATCATTAGTCTCATGATCGGACATGCTCTTATGGACGCGCCGCAGGACCCGCCATGCCACTTGCGTTGCAGCAAACCACCCAGATACTCTCTGTATTTCACCGGTTAGAAGTAAGTTCCACTCGAAGAGCTTCTTCCGCCAACCACTGCTCTGTGGAACTGTTGTGGAGATGAACACACCGCTCCAGAATATGACTTGGTCTCGTCCAAACAGCTTATATACTGGTGCCAAGAACTGTCAGGAGCGAGCAAACCGCGCTCGAAGCTCTTAGATCTTTTTGAACGTTCTGCTTTCGGGCAGAGAGAAACCGAGACGAGGCTCTGCCAAAGAGCAGAGTCTCGTTTGGAGATGTAGACAAACCCGAATCCTTTATTACGGTACCTACAGGGAATATTTGCACAAACTTACGGGCTTAGATTTGCCCCACATAAAAAAAATCGGTCTTGTGCCACATATTGCCTTGTGGGGGCTTTGGTAAATAGCGAGCTAGCCACTCGCGAAGCTCTTAGATCTTGTCGATCTCTCTACTCTCGGGAAGGGAGGGAACCAGACGAGGCTATGCCAAAGTCTTGTCTGGGGAAGTAGACAAACCCGACTCCGTTATTACGAAGAATGTTTGCCGATCCTACGGGATCGGATTTGCCGCAAATAAAATATCGGCCTTGTGCCGCATCCTACCTGGTATTTATACCCATAATCGTAACACATCGTGGGTAGGCCTAACTAGAATGATAGGGGTGGGGAGGAAGAAGAAACTTGTCATGTAATAGAGGCACAATAGGTATTTTATACTATGTCTGCATCTACTGATTAATACTGACTTATTAATTATCATCTTGAGATTGCTGCTCGAACTTAATATTGCAAAATTTGCTTCTAGGCAGAGTTTGCACCTATCCCTAGTACTTTTACACATACTGCTTTTCTTAAAAACTATTAATTTGGGGGACTTAACTTACGTCTCTTTTAATTTCTCAGTATATATATAAATATATATATATATATATATATATATATATATATATATATATATATATATATATATATATATGTGAAAAGTGTATATAAATATAAATAAATATATATATGTATAATTATTTATATATATATATAACCAGCTTTAAATATAACAAATAAACCCCATTTTTTTAAATTTTTTTTTTTTTTTTTTTTTATCAGAAACAAATAAACCTTTAAATATAACAAATTTTTTTTTCAAAATTTTTTTTTTTTTTTTTTTTCAGAAACAAATAACCAGCTTTAAATATAACAAATAAAACCCCCATTTTTTTTTCAAAAATTTAAAATAAATATAAATAATTATAATAATTTTTACCTATCATAATTTTACACAAAACCCACCACACATATATACATACATGCGAGAAAATATTTTTCAACGGAAAAAAAAAAAAAAAAAAAAAAAATTCATAATATGACATGGATACATTCACGAGACATTAACGAGACATTTCCGCCACACTTCCAATGTTTAAATTTCAACATTTCAACATTTCAACATACAAATGCGTATGTATAGACATAACACCACCCGTAATACATACATGTGTCATAGCCGAAACTGTCTACATATGTTTATATATATGTATGAGTCCCGACGGACGACCAAGTATGTATATGTGTCTACATACAACGATGTTTGCGTTAGTACGATGAATGACAAAACGACGAAATTTCCCCCACCACTTCCACAATAACACCAATACACGCAATCTACATAAACCCAAATTTTAAAACATTAATCAGTTTGTCTGACGATCGCTAAAGCGTGAAACCCAGGGTCACAAACTCACATCTATCCAACCAAATATATATATATATATATATATATATATATATATATATATATATAGGGCGATTGAAAAGTAACTCTGAATTTTAAAACGTTCTAAATTTATTCACTATAACTTTTACAAGAAATGGTTATGAGAGAAAAGCGTATATCATGAGGCTTTATTTAATAATCGATATGGGCACCAGATTTAGTTAACAGCTTCTCGAGCCGCCCAGAAATCGCGTCAACTGATTTCACCAGGAATTCTTGTGCTATGGAAGACATAACTTCTTGTATTCGCCCATCCAAAGTTTTGGTTTTGTATAGTAGACCTGATTCTTTAACCAACTCCAAAGAAAAAAGTCACTGGTTATTAAGTCAGGTCTCTTGGCTGACCACTCATACATAAAATATAGAATTACGTTTCAATCACTCTGTATATATAACGTCCTGCAGCAAGGTATCTGATCGGGAGATTGGAGATTTTAAGGAGTGTGAAATCACCTCTTAATTGCTGTTGTTCTCAAGTACACTCTGACCCGGGATGGTAGCAGCAGGAAAATAATAATCTCCCAAACAATGTCTAAACATCATGAAAGTATAAAAATGCATTTTATACCAGCAATACATTTCTATAGTAAAAAAGACCAGCAATATATTTTTATATAAAAAATTACCAACAATACCTATTTATAGTAGTATTACCAACAATATATGTTTAATGACCAACAAACATTTTATATGTACTTGAAGGTATGCAGTTGCGTTCAAAATATTTAGATTTCGACATTAAATAACCCATAGAGGTTGATATGCAGGTAAATAAAATCAACCAACCAACCGATATATATATATATATATATATATATATATATATATATATATATATATATATAATGATTTATTTTTCAAATATTTATTATTACTTATATTATTTATAAAGTTTTTTGTTGTTATCATTATTATTGTTATTATTCGAAGAAACACGTCGCGTATAGGAATACCTGTTTGGCCAATACCACGGAACACACGTTCACATACTGATATCCTATACGACTGGGTCGTAATCCTCACATCGGGACGGTCTCAGCGAAACCTGGACGTAAAATTAGCCATCACGTAATAATAAAGATACGATATTTTCTAAACCACAAACTAGAATAGATTTTATTTTGAATTTTAATTAAAGCTTTGATTTTCTTGTATAATACAAAGTTTTCATGAGTCAATATCTTTTACATTTCAAGTCTGACAATAAAAATATTACAGATATCCATGTCCCTTTTGGACGCGGGTGATCATTACTTTTCACCACTTTCTGCCTATTACTAAATGTGTTTTTGCTAATATCTCCTAATCGCTGTTTTGCCAATCATTTACACAAACTCGTTAGGTAGATTATTCGCTGCTTTCCTTTGTTCCTCTCGCTTTCAATATGTCCTGTGCGTGATAAATTTTCCAAGCTCTTTTACCTCATTATGTGCCCTAGATAATTCAACTCTTTCGAAGTGTCATATTTTGTTTCCTTTTTCTCTAATACTTGGTTATTGTTCACATGTTATTATCAGCATCCTTGTTTAGAACCAGATTTCTGTTACCTCTAGTTTTTATTTCATCTGTGATGAGAGTATCCATCATCTCTGATCGATGTTACGAAACAGTTTCGTACTGTTTTCTTCTAATCAAATGTTCCTGTTTCTTAACATTCTGCTTAGCTTTTGGAAGTCCTCTTGACAAACATCCGCAAGAATTGTGCTTTACTAACTCTTTTCTTACTCGTCTCCCTTCCAGCGTCCTCTCGCATTCGCTGTTGATAATATCACTCATTAATGTGAAGCTTCTATATATTCGTACAGAATGAAATCCCAAAAGTGTATGGTACTAGCAGTCAATTTATCGATCTCTTATTTAGTTCCTTCGACTCTTGCCGATGAGTAAGACTAATCAATTTCAAATCAAATATCAATGCTCTTACTACTATATCCTTCCCATCATTGCCAGCCAATTTAATTCTTTTTCTATGTGCCGTGTCACTTTCGGTCATTGGGGATTATATCTCTCCAAAATATCCTTCTCTTTGTAGCACTTAATATATTTTTGTTTTTATCTCTCCTAAACCCTGTTCTGCCATCCATTTACACATGCTTGCAAGTTAGATTATGAGTTGTTTTTCTTTGTCCCTATTGTTATCAATCTCTCCTGTGAGTATGAAATTTTCCAAGTCCTCTTTATTCATTATGTGCCCTAGTATTTCAACACTCTCTTCCTGTTATTAAGTATAAGCGTCTTTATTGCTGTCATCTTCCATCAAATTGCCTCGTTACTCACAAGCTATTCCCAGTATCCATCTATAAAACCAAATTTCTGTTGCTTCAAATCTTTTTATCTGTGAGATTTTCCAGAATTCTCTGCCACAAAGGAGGACTACTATTGTATAACAATTCAGTATTCTTTTCTAGTTTCATTTTTGTTTCCATTTTCTCTAAAATTTCGTCGTTGCTCACATGTTCGGTCCATGATATTCTCACTATACTTTTGTAGAACCAGATTTCTGCTGCATTACATCCGTGAGGTGATCTTCCAGCATTCACTGCAATATAGGTGGACTAACAGTACGTTCATTAATCGTTTCTAACAAAATTTTTCTCGTTTCTTAATAATTTGCTTAGATTTTTTTTCAACTGTCTCTTACTGATTTTAAGCATGTTTTATCAACTTCCTGTCCTTTGTAGCTGTTAACATTTTTTCTCAAACCCTATAGCGGCAGCCACTTATTCAAATTCACTAAGTACGTTATGCGTTGTATTCCTCTTTAAGTTTCAAATTTTCCAAGCCCTCTTATTGTGAACTACAGAAATTTCAACTCTCTTTTCCTGATGTTAAGGATAAGTTTCCTTTTTGTGTCCTTTTTCACAAAACTTTCATCGTTGCCCACATGTTCGATCCATGGGATTCTCAGCATCCTTATGTAGAACCACATTTCTGCTGCTTCTAGCCAATTTAATACAAAACAATATTATATTTTTATTATGTTTATTACTACTTATATTAATTA